GTGCGAGCACGGCAGGTTACGCAATAGCTCCTCTAAGGAAGCGGATGACAAGGTCGTTGCTTCCTAATGATCAGCCGCACTTCGACTCTGCGAACGCTCAAACGGCCTCCACATAGTGTGGAGGGGGACCTCCCCTTATCCAACAGCTCATAAAGGAAACTAATCAACCATGAGACCCCACATGTTCGTGGGTCCAGATTTTTGTCAGTGCACCATTTGGAGAACACAGACTATTTAGACGTGTAAAGCTTTCTAGTAGAGGTAGACTGCATAATCATGTTCATCACTCCTTCTGGCAGGATAACAGGTATACGTTGATCAACCATGAGACCAGCGCTCTGGATGGGGATCCCAGATCGAGCCGTGAGCTTGAGAGAGGACATCTGTCCTCACTGGAATAGGCCACAGGGCTGTGTGTGACAGCTGTGTCAGCTCCGAGAACCAAGTTTAGTTTACTTTTCCCTGAGTCTCTTGGCACTGTGGCAACCAGCGCATTAAAGGGTACCCAAAAATGGCGGATGTTGACGTATGGTCAAAAGACATCCCAAGACGTGACGTCAACATCCGCCGTTTTTGGGTAACCTTTAATGTCGGTTAGATGACGTTATCCTAACCCTACCCCAGACCTAAATCTACCCCTAAACCTAACTGACGTTAAAGGTAAAGCGTCAGTTGTATGATGTCCCAGGATCGTCATGTAACTGAAGTAAAAGGGTACCCTAAAACGGCGGATGTTGACGTATGGTCAAAAGACGTCCCAAGACGTCAGTTATATGACGTCTTGGGATGAGACTGTGTTATGGCAACAGTGAGACCGGAGGGAAAGCATACAGTGGCCGGCTGGGCCAGATTCGGGCTAGCGCGTCCTCGTTCTTCGAAAAGAACATTGGGCAGTGAGCGTTTTTTGCGTTGCGTTGTCTTTTGACGCAGAGAGGTCGACTTCCATTTTGCCAAAAAGGTGCCATAGTGACTGTACTGTTTGGGGGTGCAGGGACCATACCCCAGGTGGAATAATGTCCCTGGACAGTTTGTCTGGGCCGTCATTCAGGAGGCCTGGCACATGAGCAGGTCTCAGAGAGTGCAGATGGTGCTGAGACCAAACGAGGAGGCATTCTGTTAGATCTCAGAGGTTCCTGGATCTGACACCGCCTTAACGATTCATGTAGGACACCACAGACCAGACAGAAAGCGCAGATAAGCTGGCTTTTCGCTCCTCAGAGGGCGACGGCGGCTTCTTTCGGAATCTAGCAATGCGGAGATCTTCGCTGAAGAGATGAAAATCAGGGTGAAAGCCTCTGAGCCCCGCTTATATACGCTAAGCCACGGCCATTTTGGTGGGCTAAGACGCGATGAGGGCACCCTTCATTGGATGTGACGTCACGCCGGGCTCAGTGGTAGGCTGCTGCAGTTGCCGCAGGGCAGCCAAAGAGCACGCTAGACAGCCTGCTCTAGGTCTGCTAGCTGCTGCACTGTGTTCAGTAGCGGTTCTAGGCACGGGCGAACCAGGCAGTCGCCCGGGGCGGCATTTCTTCATGTCACATGGGGGGCGGCACGAGCAGTTAAAAAAAAAACTGCCGCGAAGTTTTTCTATTTTTTATTATTTCTTTTCATTTATTGGCAATGGCGCCCTGCTTGCTGAGAAGGTGCCGTGCGCAGAAGCGATGTCAAGGGGATCTCCTGATTAGTTCACATATCGCGTCTTTTGCGTGCTCGAGGTCGTTATTTCAAATCCTCTATGTTTCAAATAGGCGCACGGGAAGCGCGCTCATTATGCGCTCACGGGAAGCGCGCTCATAAACTTTTCAGCACGTGCAGCCAAACACTTGGGTGTTTTTTTCTTCTCCGTAAATAAATCTTTTAGCAGAGCTACAGCAAGCGTTTTTCTGTGGTTGAAACACATTAGCTACTAAAACTCCTTTGTCGTTGTGGAGAGCGCAGTGTAATGAGTGCATGGTTCTATAGCAACGACAGCCATGGGAAAATCGGTACGAATTTTACTATTAATAATAAAAGATAAGCTACTGTGCAATATAAATGTCAGGAATGTATCTTTATTGACTCGTTCTTTTTGTAGAGATGATTTAAATGCTGAAATACTATGAGGTTTATCTTTATATAAAACCTTTTTTGTGTTAACCTTTTTTTAAGTTTAGTAGGTAAGATGAAAGACACTCCTTTAAAACAAATCTTTAATGTTATTAACTTGGTGAATTGATTTCACTGTGTATTAGGCTTTTTGAACAAGATTCTGTGTATGTGATCATTTTGGTCACCATATTATCTAATACATTTCATAATGATCAACTAAAATCAACTGTAATTCTGACTTTTTACAGTAGCCTATAATATGCAAGGGGGGGGGGGGGCGCTCAAAGGGGGTCTCGCCCTGGGTGTAATTCAAAGTAGAACCGCCACTGACTGTGTTGACAATGAATACAAAAATTAAGGATAATTGTTTGGCTTCAATATTTACAAAAGATGAATCTGTCCCTTAGCGTAAGCTAACTTACACAATACGAGAGAACCTCTCGTAAGAGAACATCGAAAAGCTAGTTACACACAATATTAAAACTGTTTTAATATAAGCAGCAGATTTTCTTCATACCTAAAGCATTCGAAAGTTTTAGTGCAGGGATTTGTTTTATTGTAATTTGATGTGTACCATAATTGGTACATGTATTTACATAACAAAATTTGGGAAATATGCATGTCACTGTCCACAAATTATTCCTTTGCTGTACGATAAATTTCCACAGTCTGTTGTGAGGTGATTCAGGCAAAACAGATTTTGCTTAAACAGCAATACGCTATATGGCTATGAATCAATCACCATCATTATTATGCATTCTCGTTGTTTGTTCTTACAACTACTGTTCATATGAGATGAGATGAGATGAGCTAAGCTAACTCAATTAAATCAAATTAACACAAAGTAAACAACAACTGTATATTATCACGTTTTCCCAAACTTTGTGAACATCCACTGCAAGAGTTTTTCACATACGCAAAGCACACATTATTTGGACATGGATTAAAATGGTGTAGCTAACATAGCTAATGTAACATATTGGCAGAGTTCAATAGCCAAGAATGGATTTTGTCTACAAATAAGGCACAATAATGGTTATACTTACCACCTGCTATATGGTTTTTCATTTGTGATTTTTATCTGTTCATTGAGTTTGTTCTTGGCTGACGCACTGCACCTCATTACAGTTTACTATCTGCATTTGTATGCATCATGGAAAAGGGGAGTGGGCCATTGGGACATCACAGCACACCCGGATGAAAAGGTTACCTCTCGGCACTGTTTATGTACCTATGCAGGAAATACAAAATGTACTAGAAATATATACCAACAATGCAAGGTTCTTTACCCCGGTTCAGACTCACAGCAGGGTCACAATATATAAATCGATGAGATTGGTGTTATCTGTGACGTAAAAATTTGGAGTAATGATATTATGCTTTTTCTATTTACATTAACTGTAGCGACAGTTATATGGCTGTTAGCTATACCCCTCAGTTAGCTATGATTGAGTGCCTTACTAAGCCATAATGGTGACAAAGACAGTGTTATCCATAACTCTCCTTTCATTAGACCACAGAAGGATGGAATAGGGTGAGCAGTATATATCACTATGATTAAACTGAAGGCTCATATAATGGACCATGTCACCACAAACGACTGATGTTATAAGGTGAACTAAGCAAAAGAACAGTTTCAACTAGATTTGCTAGAGCACCAAAAAAAAAAAAAAAAAAAAAAAAAAAAAAAAAACAATTTTATTTTCCCAGCCTATAAGGTGGCACATCCCTCATAAAAAATAAATGTATCAACACAATATAATGAGGCCTGGCATGGCTAACAGTGCTGACATTGACCTGGTAAGATAGACTCTACCACACCAGGTTAATGTCAGTCCTGGTGGTCCATATGATCATTTATCTAGACCAGCGAATCATCGGCTTGGTCGAAGTCAAACCAGCTGCCATCATAAGCTGCATTTTTCAGAAGGTAACATGAGAGTGCTTTAGCACTCAATTACTACAATTAGCTATTATAGCATTTTAGGAATCTCCAGGCTATATGACATGCTATCTCCAAATAGAATGATAATTAGACCATACATGTGCTGCTTAATATGTATGTATGTAGATGAGATTGAGAGAAGAAGTAATTTGAGGGTTTAGAATACTTAAGCAAAACTTATTTTTCCTGGTTACTTTCAATCACTTTTATCATTTCATAATATTTCAATATGGATGGACCCACTTTGCACGTGTATTTGCAAATCTCCTCCAAGAAAAAGAAAAACAATATATTTTAAATAACTTTTTTTAAAAATAAATAAATAAAAAAGCTGATTGATATGATGGATGCACAAAGAATTAATTACAGTTTGAAATGACATAAGCAAATGATAATGCTATGAAACAGCAGTGAGTTGTATGAAAGCAATTGATGCATGTCCAAAAGCATTTGCAATTTGTTGGAAGGAATGACAAACTGCTACTATGATGTGCACACATGACTAAATGTTGTGGAGGTTGAACTAACTGTTGTGCAAATGTAAATAGTGATGTGAGAAATGCACCAAAGCGACTGAGAAAAACTGTAAAGCTGTCTATAGTAGACAAGCTTGGTCAAAAATATAACAATGAGGGCATTTCAAGGAAGGAAGAATGATTTAAAAAAAAAAAAAAACCGACAGTGCTGCTCTGTATATAAAAGTTAGAGATGTAGCTAGTGTTTCTGGTTGTTGATAATTGGCAGATACCAGAAATATCGAGAGGGCGATGAATGCCGGTAGGTGGCAATCACATGTCAATTTGTGCACAAAAAAAAAAAATCACTATGGAGAAAATTCACACATATTGATTAAGCACATTTTAAATAAAAATATCGCGCTTTTCTTTTTGGCTTTGGACGACATGAGTAACTACTAGACTGACGCGCTCGCGCGCACACACTGCGCAACAACAGATGCATTTCAAACGCGCAGTGTCAGGTTTAATACATCATCTGTCAATCGCTGTAAATATTCCCTTCTCCTGAAGCCACATTTTCAGAGACGGTGAAACTATTCGTGTGCTTACACTTTCTATTTACATTTTCTGACGAAAAATGGAGCTGGCCGGCGCAACAGCGATATTTTGTAAGCAAAACTAAGAAGGGGAAAACTGCAGCGCCAAACAAACGTCGCTATGAGGCTGTGAGCTGAGATTCAGAAAGGCAACGTATTAAGTTAATACGCTGACATTAAACGACATACTTAGCCAGATCCCTTATCAACACGAATTAAAACCTTTTGGATGTTGAGTAAAGTGTAAGTTTGAGGAGGCTCTGCAGTGGACATCGCTCACCAGAAATGAAGGCGTGCAGACTCAAGGAAGGAAGCTGAGAGGTGGTGCTGTCACACATTCAACAGCATTCAGCGGAGTCAGCACGTTATGTTCCATCTATGGACTGCGGTGTTGGATGTGGGCAAGATCTGAACGAGGGGCCGGAATGCGTTGAAGAACGGAGGTATATGGCAGTGGTTTTAAAGGGCACACCTCGATCAGAGAAACCTACCAAGTACTAACTCTACTGGATTTTTACCCAAAGGGGTGCCCATTTGGTTTAGACATTTCCTTCCCGGATGTGGATACTAAGCTTATTTTATGTGTCCAGCAAAACATGCCAACGGTGGTAGATTTATCCTCGTTTTCTTTACAGATTTTGTAGAAGATTTGTTCTCTTCCAGCCACCCTCCCCCTCCTCCCCCTTTTTTTGCACCTGCTTTGCTTTGTCAAAGCTCACCGAGCGCTTTAGAGCGCACTGCTCTTACTTGCATCTCCGTACATCGTGCATGGATTCTACATGAACTGGGGTTTTGTGAGGGCTGCAGTAATGCTCCCATTTACCGATATCGCTTCACAGCTCGCATTTCCTGACAAAAATGGGTAAGGAGCCGTAGCCTAATCTAACCGGTCTGTGCAGATCTATTTTAAAACGATCCTATTTTCCAGTAAGTTGACGCTGAATGGATGCATTGAATCTTTTTGAACATTTTCCTATCTATCTATCTATCTATCTATCTATCTATCTATCTATCTATCTATCTATCTATCCATCTATCTATCTATCTATCTATCTATCTATCTATCTATCTATCTATCTATCTATCTATCTATCTATCTATCTATCTATCTATCTATCTATCTATCTATCTATCTATCTATCTATCTATCTGTGCTGCAGGCTGTAATGGTTTTGCATTATTTCTGTGGCTGTAATGTGATAGATTGTGCAATATTGTGCATTTTTATCTGTCTTGTGCTTTTCTGTTGCTCTACTTACCATTACTTTTGCTAGAATATGGCGTTGGGTCATTCATATTCTGTTCACATGTGCATTGCTATGCTCTAAAGAGACAAGGGGAAAGAGGCAGTGTATCCATGATAGTCTAAGCAACTGTCCCTCATTGCTTCTAATAGACCCCAGTGACTTTTCAGGTTTCCTGAATACTGCAAGTAAAGCTTAGTAGTAAAAACCTTGCATCATAACTAGTTTTATAATTATTTTGTGATTGGAAAAAAAAAAACTCCCTGCAGTGTAGTTCCAGGAAGGCTGGCATCTCGCACTGGTGCTAATCTGCATTTAACATTCAACCCTCACAAGGCTTCAGAACTTCACTAGGTAGAGACTGTGGTGCTGTAATAGACAGCAAGTCTGATTCACTGGGAAGCTTCTGAGCCATGTATTGGTTTTTGAGAGAGCTTATGCAATTTTTGATGGATGATTCATGGGTTCGTGGGTTGTTGTTTCACCAGAGGTATTGAGAAGCTTTTTTTTTTATTGGGGGGGGGGGGGGGTGCTGAAAACCATTGCAGAAAATCACATTATGAGATGACAACCTCATACCACACACATTTCCGTTGTGAAAACATTCTTATTCAGTTGGTACCTATCAATGTTAACAAACAGGTATTGGCTAATTTAGTTAAATAAAAAGTTCTGTCAAATAAGTCTTGGACAAGTATTTTGTAGAGGCTAGCAATAGCAATAGCTTTGAAAGCATGAGATCCCACATGAACGCACACAGAGCAGTCTGCAAAGTGTCATGAGAGACAACATTAAATTACCTTTAATTAAGTAATTAAATGTCTCAAAGCACATAACATTACAATAAATATGAACTTAAACAAATTATAGAGCTCGGACTTGTATTAACAGCTCCAGGTAGAATGTCATAGGTTGCCGTCTCTTCAGGTGTGAACACAGCCTAAGCTTGTTGTTTTGGTTCAGGAGGAATCATAAAAATGGCTGCTGTTTGTTTGTGGCATTCATTGACTGTCTGTCTACAACTTTCTGCATATCCTTAAGAAACACACTGATGATGTGTGATGTCTGCGCAAGCATGGTACATGGAGGTATGCAATTTTTTTTTTTTTTTTAACATTTAAACCACTTATATTACTGATTGCTATCAGGAGACTTTCAACAAGTTTAACAAAAAGTCTATGAAAACATTTTTTTTTTTTTAAATGAAAAACATTGCCTATACCTTTAAACAAGTAAGCTAATTCATGATGGGGTTTTTTTGGGTGTCCTTAATACATTTTTCCTTCAAGCACTTTTGTGCTCTGCCTCAGATCACGAAAGAGTAACAAATAACAGCAATAACATTTGACAAGTTAATGTTTGCAGATATAATAATGATTCTCTTCTTTTTAGATAAATATACTGGGTTTTAATAGCCTTTTACTGCAAATAATCCATGACAGATGTTCTGACCATTTTCAGTCCACTGTGGCCATAATCATCTTAGCCAGCTTAAATGAAATCATCAAATAGCTTAATTACAGAAAATAAATTCTCTAAAATTAAATGTGTGATTAAAATCGCATATCCATTGGGGTCACTATTTAAAAAAAAGGAGAAGAAGAGTTGTAAAGAATGGAGTTATAATGTTATTCATTTCTATGATTGTGTCCTGAAATTAATTCCTGGACATTTATTATCCCCTCTTGTTTGGTTGATAATATTTCACAAGCAGTTCAAAGAAACAAGATTCAATGTGTGATGCAGACACTGATGTGCTGTCATGAGGATGAGTGTTAATGTATTGAATGTGTCTTCTCATCCAAAAAAAAATGCCAGATACCATTCAGTTCCCCTAAGGCTAGGAGAAGCCCGTAAACGAGAGAGCATTTAGCCAATATCACACACATTAACCTCAATAATCTTTGCCATTTAGAGAAAAATGAAGCAGTTCAAATGTTTCTGCTCAACCTGATGTTTCATAAAGACCATCTCTAATGTGGGTTAGGCTGTGAAAAATTTAATAATAATAAAAAAAAAGTTTAACAAAAGGGACTGAATAGATTGTGTGGACTAACTTCTTCAAAAATGGAACAAAAAAAACTGTATGTGCAAAAAAAAACAAGAAGGATTGTGATCGCAAAATTTGTAAATGCATTTTTTTTTTTTATCTCTGCTGGAGTCTTACTGTAATGCAGTAAGGCAGAATGGTTGCACTGTGGTGTACTGTTCTCAGGTCAGAGGAAGTGATGTTAGACAAGATATAATCCAGCCAACAGTGAGCCCTGCTTCTGCCAAACACATAGCCTCACTGGCTTTTCATTTAAAAATGGTGTTTTATTAATCATGTGGCGTCCCTTTTACTCCGCCCCAGCAGAATTTAAAGTAACAATAGTACAATGATGGAATTTTAAGTGGGATAAATGTATGACTTCCTCCTTAGCTAAAATGTTTGACCTTTGGACCAGTACTGTAGAATCAATGGTGCTTGTTAGATGCATTCATGCTTATGTCAGCCATTGTGAAATGTACAACAACAAACATTTGATTATTTTTTGGTTATTAATGAAATCTCTCTGTTATGTTTGAAGACAATATCAGCTACTCTATACATGGCTAATGCCAGATAGTCACCCAAAAAAAAAAAAATGTTTTGTGTATTAGTATACTGCCAATAAATTAAAGATCCACTGTGCTAAAATATTGGATACAAGAAGACTGCAAGGCACAAGCTTGTAAAGCTTTGTTTATCCCGTAACGTTTAACAATCCCCATATCTGATCTAGTGCCCAGTCCACTGAGCTACGAAAACCCCTCTGTTTTTTACGGGTTTTATTCATGCTTTATGTTTATCTTTAATAAGGTCTCCAGTGGCAGATTCTTGCTGATGATAATTCTGGAAATCACCAAAAGCTGTTGCTGGGTCATGTGGCCTCTGTGAATGCCTGTTCACATTTCTCTTCTGTGAATTTGTACTGGAGCGAAGATACCGTGGTTTATTACCTGAAGTATGTTGGTTGTCACAGTAGATCTCCCTGAACAATTTCGACTGCAATGAGGTGAATGTGCTCCTGGTATGGCCTAACCTGGTTTCCTTGCTCATTGCCTACAGAGCAATATTGGGGTCATGGGTTCAAATCCCACTTGGAGCCACAGTAAAATTCATCAAGCATATATGCAAAGAGCTACCCTGCATAGTGACACATTCTAACAATTAGATCCATCCAAAATGGCTTAATTTATGTGAAGTAATGTGGTGTGAACTGATATACAAGCATGCCCTATTGATATTTTTAGCTCAAACACGTTATCGTCTCTTTTATTATGCGATCGTGCAATGAATCAGTTGTTGATGTAGATATATCAGTCTGTGATTTATAATTAGTCTGCCTGTGGCCATTGCAAGGAGCAGAACGCGTAATGTGAATTATGTTAGCGAAAGATGTAGGTCTTGGAGAACAGGATGCAGCCCAAATGGCTACAGATAAATGATGGAGTGAACATGCTGCTCTGGTTTTAGTTCTGCAGCAGATGTCTAATGCCATACACGGACACAAAAACCCTTTCTGAGAGACATTTGGCGCTTTGGAGAGGAGCCAGGGTGAGGTACAGATGCATAGGCACAGAGAGGTGAACGTTCATGCATTTTAAATCTATGATAGGTCCTTTGAGCAGCTTATTAAGCAAACCTCTCTTTTCAGTGAAAATGAAAATTGACTCCCATATCCTCAGGCCTCGGTAACTGTAATAAACGTCTGTGCATTTGAAATCGTCAGCCTTTGCGGTGCCGACAGAGCCACCATAGAGATTGTGCTGTCACACAATAGCGACAACCTCTGTGTTGTTGATTGTTAATTCAGAAATATCCTATGTCAACACTATATCCTACAGATGAGCCAAATGGCATAAATTGTACTGTTCGGTGAGATTAGTCAGTGGAGACAGAGAGGGAGGTGTTCTCAGCTCAGCTCAGCTCAGCTTATAAATATCACTTTGCCTTGATTGCACTGTATGTTTGTCATCACCGCCGTGGAAAGCACAGTACAAATCTGGGTTGCTCATTATATTGGAACCCCTTTTCAAACAGCCACCCTCCCCTCCCCTAGAGGATGTCTTCTCCTACTCTCAGCACATTTCGGATATGGGAGAGGAACTTGAAGGCAGTTGGCTTTTTCAAGCCTCTCAGATCAGTTGGCCTGGATTCACAAACACAAGTGTGTCAAAGAGATCCATGTCTTTGAGGCTGATAAATCACAGACTTCCTAGAATACATACTGTTGTGACAGGGTCCAGGATCGAAGCTGTTCCACAATAAAAACATTTGCCAACTAACAGACTCTCCTAATATGATGGCAGAGGCGGATATAGATTGAAACAGCTTGGCATCTCAGCAGACACACCATTCTAGGGCATACTACTACAGTGAGCCAGTGCCTGAACAGAGCGCTCGAGTCCCAAATGCTGTAAATAATAAATACGTTGACTTTCATTGAAGTTTCAATTTTATACAAATCTATCTATCTATCTATCTATCTATCTATCTATCTATCTATCTATCTATCTATCTATCTATCTATCTATCTGTCTGTCTGTCTGTCTGTCTGTCTGTCTGTCTGTCTGTCTGTCTGTCTGTCTGTCT